TCTGCATCTTCCTGCAGCTTCATCTCTCTCTCTCTCTCTCTCCCTCTCTGTCTCTCTCTCTTCCTTTGCTTACCAAGATCTACCCAATCTAGCATTCTTTTACTTACTTGATCTAGGACACTCCTTCCCACACTTGGTCTTTGCCTATGCTGTTCTCTTTCTAGTCTTTACCTGGCAAACTTCTCCTGCAGGTCTTCAGTTAAATGTAACTTCTGCAGAGAAGTGTTCCTTAACTCCATACGTTTAAGTAGTTCTCTACTATTATTCTCCCTCAAAGTACCCTGTTCCTTTCCTTCACAGTGTTTGACTTTTTTTGTTTCATCAAGTTGTATTTACACATGGATTTGTGTGTTAACTTGCTAATATTTGTCTCTACCACTGGACCATGAACTCTTCATACCATCTTATGAAGCCCATCTGTTTTGTTCACCTTTGTAATGTATACCCAGAGCATAGGATAGCATCTGGCACATAGTAGTATTCACTAAATAAGGGAGTATTAAATAAATAGAGTACCTCTCCTTCTCCTTTTGAACAGGATTAGATAAATGCAAATAAATGTGTTAGAATGGTGACCAGATAGCTGAGGACACCACTGGCCTGCAGTAGGTATCTCTCCACGCCCAGCCTAGGAGAGTGATAAAGCTTGGCACAAAAGGAAAAGCAATACCCAATTATTAGCAAGTTAGAAGGACTTCTCTAGTTTTCAGTTCTACCATAGACAACTATACAACTCAGGAACTCATTTCATCTTTTACAATAATCTCTATCTCCTGTCTAAAAGATTGATTGAGGTTTCTCTGAATTTTAGGAAAAACTCCAATACAAACTGATTTCCATGCCCTACCTAATACTAACACACAGATTCGCATATATATTTAATTTTCTGAATTCTGCAAATTAAAAAATGACTCAAGTGGTATTATTAATAATAAATCCTGCTGGCCTGTTCTAAAGTCTAGCAAGTGCAGAGGCACACAGAAAGGAGAAATTTTTTCTGGGACATGTGAAATTCTCCAGCCCACTTTTTTTCATGAAGTATTCTTAAAAATTGAGATGTAATTCACATAGCATAAAATTTACTCTTTTAAAGTAAGTGTACAATTCAGTATTTCGACCAAGTTGTGCAACTATTGCCACTAATTCCAGAACATTCCCATCACCACCACCCCCAATCCACCTCCATTAGCAATCATTCTCTCTATTCTTCCCTCCCCTAGACTCTGGCAACCACTAATGTACCATCTTTATGGATTTTGCTGTCTTTTTTTGCAATCATGAAACTGAAACACAGAGAAATGAAGTGATTTACAGAGTTGCAAGAGTCACTTAGGAAGAGAACGTGGTTAGAACGCTAAGTACTTACAGCAACTTTTAAGTGTATAAAAAACAAGAGATCAGTGAAAATATGTTTAGCTTGCTTATATATATTCTAAGTGTGGCTGTAAGACATCTGATGTTAAAGCAGAGTCCTCAGAATAGCCACTCTGAGGCAGTGTGTCTGGCCAGGGAAAGGCAGGGATGTAGGATGTTAGTCAGGAATCACTATAGGGGAAGAGAGATGCCACTGGTAGAAGGGAATTATACTCACGGGTAGGGAAAAATGTGAGGTTATATGGTTTATAGGACAGACATTTTTCTTTTTGGCCCAGGGTATTGAAATTGGCGCTGATGTGTCCAGGTGCCCACTTACTTCCTTTTTTTTTTTAAGATGGAGTCTCGCTGTCACCCTGGATAGAGTAGTGCAGTGGCATCATCATATCTCACTGCAACCTCAAACTCCTGGGCTCAAGCGATCCTCCTGCCTCAGCCTCCTGAGTAACTGGGGCTACAGGCACACACCACCAGGCCCAGCTAATTTTTCTGTTTTTAGTAGAGACGGGGTTTTGTTCTTGCTCAGGCTGGTCTTGAACTCCTGAGCTCAAGCAATCCTCCCACCTCAGCCTCCCAGAGTGCTAGGATTACAGGAATGAGCCACCATGCCTTTCCCCCACCTGCTTCCTTTTATTGTGGCCCCAATGGGTCCCAGAGATCCCTGATCATTTCTAGTTTGTTCACAAGTTAATGCAATAATAGGGCTAATATCACTTCAGAATACTTACTGGTTAATGACACCTTGCTAAATAAAAGGAACCTGGATTTTTTAAAATATTCTACTGTCTTCATTTTCAAATAATTAAAAGAATTATAAACTTACCTCTGTTACCATCATAAAAGCGTACACAGGAGCATGATCCCATATGCTAAAATCATCACAATCCATTTGAAAAAATAATTAGATATACATTTTATTTTACATGTCTTAATCAACATTGCAAGTATCATTACCAAAGGAAAAAGATGGAAATCATATATCACACAGAAAAAAAATTCAAAAGAGATTAATCTGAACTCAACATTTGTGCTCATTTAAAAATATTATTAAAACAGCAATTCAAAAGGACAAACAAGTCAAAACTAAACATTCTATTAACCAAAAGAAAGATCCTAAACTAAGACTACACAATTTAAAAATAATCTCGTCTTCAACCTCGAAAAGTTTGATTTGACAACACATAATGAATATGTAAGAGTCTACTACTGAGTGAGTAAACAAATTTTCTTTTACAAACAAATCATTTTGAATTAAAGAGATCCTTCCAATGACTAGATTATTATTTAAAATAACTGCTGAATATGCTTAGATAGTAAATCTATTCATAGAATTGGACATTAAATGACATAGTGAACTGAAACTCCTTGCCCACAAAATATTTTCCTATAACTGTTACTAAGCATGTAACTTAAAAGATCAACTCTTAATTGTGTACAGCAAAAGAGAACTTTGGTACTAATAAATTAAAATTAGGGAATGAAAATATATTTTGTATATAGCATTACAGTACGTTTTGGAATTAAATTGGAACGTGCCTACATATAAACATGTGAAAGTTTCATTCTTCTGTTACATATATTATTGTCAGAAATGAACAGCCTAACTATTCTGAATTATTGATGTAAATAAAGCACCAGCCTAAAATTTCTTCCTAAAAGACTGTTGGATCACACTCAGCAATTTAGGGCAAAAGGTAAATAAAGAATTAACAGAGGCTTTTACTTTTAAAAGCCTTTGTCCCCTTTTGACATCAAGATACTAAAATAAAAATAACTCCAGTAAGTACTTCCAGAATATATCAATTTTAGTTCTCCCATATGATAGAGGGCTAGTAAGAACAACAAAAAAATAAATAAAAAGAGAAAATAAAAAAATAAGTAAAAAATAGAAAAATGTTTTAAATAGCAGACTGGGCAAGGGCAGTGGGTAGGTTTGGGAGATCTCTTTTGAAAAATCCAGAGCATTATTATTAATCCTTCTTAAATTAAACCCAGGCCAAGCACAGTGTACCCAGAATCTGTAAAATTCTTTGATAAATTTTAAGGCTGTTGAATAACTTACAAAAATGATGAACACATTTTCATTTTAAGAGGCAAAAGAGAAACGAAATATTCAAGATTGCATAGCAATTTTGTTTTTTGAAATGGTTATCCTAAACAATTTTCTTAAATTTAATTTTACAAAATTCCTATTCCTCAAGTCATCAAGTAAACACTAAAAACAACTTTACTCATGAATATTGTGGGCTAATTCATTAAAGCATGCATTTTTCATAACTCTAAACCAAAGTGAAGTAATTGAAATTTAATTTTAAATCCAGCATATGATTTCTGGATATAACATTGATATGAAATCAATAAAAATACTTTTTTTTTTTAAAAAAAAAGCATGTTTTACTTCTCAAATAATTTAGTTTGGAAAATATTTATATTCTTAGTGAAAATATTCCTTTTAGAGTTTAAAGGTTTTAAAAACAAAGCTGGTTCAACGACTGTCAAAATGAAATGGCTACAAACACTGACTACAACTTCTTAACCCACAGAAATAAACCACTTCGGGCGAGCTCAGCTCATTTAATTTTTAAAACCATTTCTCTCTTCCAGCTTCACAAGTGGACTGAACATTGCTCAACTGTTCAACAGTATTTATGTCAAAAGTAAAGAGATAAAAAGTGTTGTAAAGATTGCACAGTGACTGACTCTGAGAAGGATATGATATACGATCAACATTTCAGAGCTGGAAGGGATCTTCAAGATCTAATCCAGCACCCACGTTTTACAGATGAGGAAACTGAGGCACAAACACATCGAATGATTTGACCAAAGTCACATTCCTCAGTTGAGCCATTCATTCAGTCATTCATTCACCCACTTACCAAAAGCTGCCTGAGTGCTCAGTGCTAGGTACTGAAAACGAGCTGAAAGTCAGTGTTCACAACTGCTGAGGCAATCTTTGTTTCCTTGCATGTTTAAGATAAATCCTTAAATATCCTGATCAGCAAGAACTTGTAGAAGAGTTCCACAGCCTTTGTGGAATCTGGCCCACTTTCAGTTTCACACATTTTAGTAAACACAGTTGAGTTTCACTTCAGAGAGGCTTCAATTGTGTTTACTTTAAATGATTAAGCATTAACAAAGGGAGGCACAGTATTCTGAATGAGCCCCTTTCTAGTACATTCATAACTTAAGGAAGTGTAATCAGAAAACGCCCTACACAAAGAAACAAGTTAACAGAGGGGACAGTTTATAAAATCAGAGCGATTTGAGGTATCAATATATAAATCAGTTAAGTCCAAAAGCTCAAGTGTACAAAGTGTGGAATGTAAGTATCTCCCCATTTCATTTAGATGTGGGCATAGTTTTCTGAGATGTCTGTATGTTAAAAAGACCTCTGAACTCACATTCAAACTAATGCCCTCTTCCAATGATACATCTAAAACCAGGCCTTTCTCCTTAAGATCAACTTTCTTTGATTTTTATTTGATTAGAGGAAAATTAGATTAAAAAGTAAACCAAAACCTAAAATTAATGTGCTGGCTAAAAGAAATTCAAATTCTATGTATTCAAAATAGCAATAGCTCAAACTGCACATTTATGAATTTTATTGAAAAATGGGATGTGCAGTGAACTTACCCATCAACATAAATCACACCTCATTTTGCTTGGACTTTTACATTCTTTAATATTAAGTCTGGCATTTAAATGTTCTGTGTATCTCAATTCACAGTCAACTTCTTTAAGGAGAAGGAAGAGACCATATTAACAAAGCTTTTAAATAAAACAATCCATAAGTAAGGCACTTTGAAATATGAAACAGCAGCACTCTGTGCACCCAGTTTCAGTGTAATACACCAAAATGAACCACAGCTTTTCAGTGCTCTCATAGATGATGGTCGGGTGACTTCTCATAAAATACAATCTTCACTGAGGCTTTCTGAAGGCTCTTTGACTTTCTTGTAGCTATTGTCAGTTCACGATGAAAGTGCTGTTGTGCTCTTCTATTTCTCAAAGCTCCAAATTTGATTTTTATCTAGAGCATCACAAGTTCTCATTTGTACACTAGGTCGGCCCTCAGGTGTCCGATAAGCACTAAGACACAGTCCTGAGTGTGGATGAAAAATGGTTCCATCTTCTTTAAAATGCCAGATAATGTTTGTTGGAATAGAGAACCCATCTTTAGGACAATTTTGCATTCCTACATAATTTTTTTGCTCCGGAACCTCTGCACATAACTCTGTCACAGAATTAAACCTTATTTCTTTGTTTGAAGTATATTCAAAGAATTGATTGCCTCCTTGACCGTGGCATCCAAACAGGGAAAGGTTAGCACCTGTGGGATTGTTGTCAGGAGAGTTATAATCTAAACATTCAGAAGAGATCCCCATACTGCGAATAGCCCCATGCCAGCCTGGCCTATCCTCTGGAACGTGTAAGTTAGGAAACACATTTTTCAAATACCAGTCGAAGCTCTTGCATCTCAGCCGTTCTCGTAGTAATTTTCTTTCAGAAATATCACCATAAGCTTCTTTCCTTGCTGGAGGGTTTCGATTGTAAAAATGCTCTTTGTACTCATCCATCCACACTTCCGCTGCCCGAGCAGTATTCTGCAGGAAATTGGGGCGAGCATATGGTGCCCGCTTGGGAAACACATGGCCCACGTGGGAACATGGGTGGATCTCCAATTTACCACCACATTGCCACACCCTAAAAGACAGCTCAAGGTTTTCACCTCCCCACACTTCCATTCCAGTGTCGTATGTTCCAAGGTACTGAAAATATTTCTTGCTGACAGCAAACAGTCCTCCAGCCATGGTGGGTGATCTGATAGGGTCAATTCTTGATTTCCGCCTGTCCCTTTCATGTTTGGGGACAGAATGCCACTGAAATGTTAAACGCCAGTCAAACCCACCAATCATGGGCTCCCCTGTTTGCATGTAGAATTCAAAAGTATTCCAATCAATGGTGTCTATAACAGGACAAACAACTATTGTTTCATCTGTACCAATCCTTTCCAAAAGTGGTTCCAACCAACCAGAATTACACTCACAGTGACAATCCAGGAAAGTGAGGACATCCCCAGTGGCAAAAGTGGCACCAATCAGGCGGGCCCTAACCAGCCCCTCTCGCTTATTTGTTCTAATCAAGCGAACTCTATCCAGATTGCTGATGTAAGTTTCAAGTTGTGTCTTCAAATAAACTCTGTCACTCAAGTCATCGACCAAGATGATCTCCTTCAAAAGGACTGCAGGAGAAGTTTCTAAAACACTGTGAATGGTGCGGAGCAAAGTTGACCAGGCTTCATTATAGAAAGCAATAATAACAGAGGTGGTAGGAAGTCTCCTATAGTTGAACTTCTTGGATTTACACTCATACATTCTTTTATCCTCTATGTGGCGGTGCAGGGAAATCCTGTCACTGAGGTAAATATTAATGGCATATCTCTCAATGAGTTCTTCTTGCTGCTTCAGTTCACCCTCGTTGAGCTGGAGTTTGCTGGCTCTCCCCCACTCTCCAAATGCATGGGAATCTGCAGGGGGCTTCTCATAAAGTGGACGAGACAAATCCTCTGCCTGTTCCTGGAGGTCTGAGAGCTGTCTTGACCCCCGCTCCCTGGCACGGTCGGCTCCTGGGGAGGCATGGAAAGTGGAGACCAAGAGCTCCACCAGGATATAGGCCACTGCTAGAATCGCCAGGAGCAGGCAGCTCTTGCCTGCCCAAGTCCACCTCACGGCCATCCGGATTCTAACAGCTAAGGCGCAGACGCAGCCACCCAGCCACTACACAGGGGAAGGGCTGCGGAAGCCGCAGCTTGAGCTCCCGGCTCAGGTAGGGGTGTACCTCCCAGCAGGTCCTTCTTTTCATGCAGGCGCTCGGCTCCTTTCCTGCCACCTGGGCTTTCCGGGGGTCATCTGAGACCTCTGGGTTCTCGGCCTCCGGCACAGACCAGCTTCTCTGTCCCCACTTCCTCCTGCTAGTCTCACAACTTTTCACAAACTCTCCAGCCAACACCCCACCCTCCCCGGGCCGAGGACAAACCCCTCCCCTTCCCACACACTCCTCCTGGTGGTTAGTTCGCGAAAGTCGTCTGCCAGGCCCAGAGCGACAGATAGGCGCTCTTTGCTGGGCCGGTGTCCGGGCCGGGATGACAGGTGGCCCCGGCTGCGCCTCGCGGCGCAGGGCGCCCCGAGTCTCCGGCCGCTCCCAACCCCCATAGAGGTCCTCAGTAGTCCTCCCGGGACCCAGCCAGCACTGGAGGAAAAGGTTCCAATCAGTTGAGCGTTTGTTTCATTACAAAAGGAAAACAAGAATGAAACTTACCAAGTTGTTTGCCGTTGGGGCTGAAGTCCACAGAAGTGATTGCAGCTTTGTGTCCTTTAAAATAACGCTCCAGAACGGGGTCCTCCTGAGAAGGAAAGTTGTCAAGTTTTGAAAGCAGATGCAGACCTCGACTACCGGGGGTCGAGATCAACGCTGCCACTCCCCAGGGGTGCTGCCTGGGAACGGCCACATAGGCGGTGGGTTTGCGGGGCAGGGGTGCCCGGCAGCAGCACAGGCGCGGGCGCGGCGCCCACTACCCCGACAGGGAGACGCCGGGCGCCAGTTCCCCCGGCAGAGCCGGCAAAATCCTCCATTCGCGAGTCCCAGAATCAAGCGCATCCGAGAGACCACCTGGGCGGCTCGTTTGAAATGCACGTTCCGGGGCCCCGCCCACTGGGTTGGAGTAGGCAGGTGCGAAGTGGCGCCCAGGCTTTGATACTTAAAAAAAAAAAAAAAACAGAAAAAAACCTCCCAGGTGATTCTGACGCAGGCGCTCCACGGAAACTCTCAGAGAATTCCGGAGGCCATGGGGCCGCCAGACTCCGTCCGGAGCTCTGGGAGAGGAGCGGAGAGGAGCTCCCGGGAGCCGGGTCTGGGCTGGGCGCTCCAGCAGCCCCGGTGGCAGAGAGTGAGACGCGGATGCCCCGGGGCGAGAGGCGAGGGGCGAGGGGCTCAGGACCCGGCTGCAGACACCTGCCTCCGTCTCCGCCTAGGTGCGGGTGCGGCCCCCACTTGGTACCGCACCCCAGGGACCGGCTCCGTGGAGGGGCCCCCCCAGCCCGTCCTTACCGTGGCGGAGGCCATGGAGGGAGAGATCGGCGCCAGGATCGTGCGGGTGGGGGAAACCGGGGAAGGGGAGGGGACAGGGTGAGAGGGGGGACCGTGCGGTGCCCGGAACCGTCGGCCCAGAGAGGCAGCGCCTCCCGGTCACTACAACAACGGCGGCCCAGTCAAACTCCGCGCTCCAGGCATGGCCAGTCGAGCCCCGAGATTCCGCAGGCGCCGGAGAGAGCGAGCGGGCAGGACGCTCCCGGGTCAGGTGCGGCCTCGCACCAAAGCCTTCGTTTACTAACACTCGTGTTCGCCCGGTTTGATGTCCAGAAGGGGAATAGTAACCAGAACAGGAATGACGCCGATGAGAGGGAGGGGGTTGGCAGCCTGCGATCGAGGCAATCTGAGTTCTATTAGGTGTTAAAGAGATAGCGCCCTCGAGTTTCGAGCTTGTCCTCTTACAGTTTGTTACGAGGGAGGGAGTTTTGATATGAAAGAGGACAGCTTGCTAGTTATTAATATGTTCAAAGGAACTAAATCCCTGCAGGACAGATTTGAATTTGTTTAGTCACTGTTTTCCACACAGTGCCCTGCATGATGTAGATACAGAGGCTTGATACGCGTGATCAATGAGTGAATGAATGAATACGCGTGCCTCCACTTAATGTTTTTCTGTGATATGTTTCTATTCTCATCTGCTTATTTGGTATGGTTTAGAGCAGTAAACTTAGCAGCATATTTAAAATCTTTAGGAAGACTTAAAAACATGATTTTTAAGTTATTAGGCAACATTTGTACAGCAGGCTTTCTTACACCTAATATCGTTTGTGCTTCGGAAAAACTAAAGTTGGTAGGATTAAAAAATGTTATCAATGTTTTCAAATTATAAACTTGATTCCTAGATATTGATCTTAGAGGTCAGGCAGAGACAGATCTTCCAATTCGAAGTCCATATCCTTTTTTTAACCCAGCCTCAAAGCATGAAGTTCTGAGCTGAAAATTACACAGAGAATAAAGATTCTTGCAGCATAAAATGGCTTGGTAGAGCACAGCTGGTAAAATACGTGTTCTATGCAAATGACAGGTACACTACACACCTCAATTACAGATGCTCTAATTGTCTAGTGATTAGTTAATTCAAGTATATGTTTGTTGAAGATTTGTTGTTTGTTTAGCCTTGAGGGATACAAAGATGACAGATATTTTCCCTGCCCTCAAGAACTCAGCTACCTAGGTTGATGAGTCTCATATTTTAGCATTTATAATGTTGGTTCAGGGTAACCATTCCCGGAGATGCTGATTCAACATACAAGGTCTGTCCAGAAAGTATCCAGCCATGTAATATGAAAAATGGAGACATTTATTGGAGAAGATACAAGAAACATTGTACAGAGACAATGATGCCTCAGTCCCCTTCAAAGTAGGCACGTTGGGACCTCACGCAGTTTTCCCAGTGTCTCTTAACCTAACCCCTACACATTCAACATTCTCAGGTGTTCTGCTTGTTGCAGGCCTTCCTGAACGTTGATCACTGTCAACAGATTCTTGACCGTCTTTGAAGCATTGTGCCACACTTTTATTTGTGCCACACTCATTGCATCGCTCAAGAAAGCCTTCTGAATCATCCGAATAGTTTCCTCGGAGGAACGTTCAAGCTTATGCAACATTTGATGCAGATTCCTTGTTCTACTTGCTCAGAGATTTTGAATGTGAGGGCCACACAGTACACATGCTCTCTGAACAGCGTCTAGCGCCACACTGACTAGTACGGTGACGTCTCGTTGTTCACGCATGCGCATCCCATCCACTCTCCTTGGCTACCAGGTTACATCCGTGTGGCGAAAACCATTCTCCTTATATTGATAATGGCCGCATACTTTCTGGACAGACCTAGTATATGGAGTGGGATCCAGGGCGCTACTGATATAACAAGCTCCACAGATCATTACTGTAGGAGCCACAGCTGTGGATGCTGAGAAACATTCTTTTAGTCTAGGAGATGATGTGTTGAGTATTGATACCAGCAACTTGTCAGCAAGCTGTGGCAGGACTCTAAGCTTTGCTACATATCCCCAGCCTACATTTAACTTATTTTAAAAAAGCCTGGCATGCTTGAAAATAATGCTGGCTACTGGTGGGAATGTAAAATGATGTAGCACTGTGGAAAAGTTCAGCAGTTTCTCAAAAAATTAAACAAAATTACCTTATGATCCAGCAGTTCCACTGCTGGGTATGTTATTATACCAGCCTCTGAGTGGAGGTATTTTCACGTTTTTGGTGATTGTAGGAGAAAAGAATTTCAGGACACACCACCTAAGCCAAGCAAGCAGCTTTTATTGAAAGTGAAAGTGAAAGTATATTCTCTCAAGAGAAAGAGTGAGCAGGCTCAAAAAAGAGCAGCTGCACTGAAAGGAAGGGATTTTTTGTCTTATGAAGTCTCACTGATTGAGAGAAGAAATATTTAAGGCTAAGGGATTGGTTTTTACGAAGAATTTGGGTAGTAATTCCTAGAATTGGATTCCCTCCCATTTTCATACTTTAAATAGTTGTTTTGGAACTGTCATGGCAATTCCAAGGTTAGAGAAATTTTAAAACCACAATGCAAATGGCATTGTAATTAGACAAAGTTCATGTAGGGTGACCTAGATAGCGGAAAAGCTGGTTGCAGCTGGTCCTTGTCTGTGGTTATCAACCCCCCTTAGTTAGACTTTAACACCTGCACCCACTCTGCAAGTCTCTGCATCGGGCTCCCAGCCTCCAAGCCCGGTTAGCTTCTGCCTGAGGGTTGTTTTTTTCAATAGCTGCACCTACTCTGCAAGCCCCTGTAGCCTTTCTCAGCCCTGTCTCCTAGTCTCCTATTCTACCAGTTATATCCCACAAATATTGAAAACAGGGATTCCAGCAGACACTTCTATAGCAATGTTCATAGCAGCATTATTTACAATCACCAAAAGGTGGAAACAACCTAAGTATCCAACAGATGAATGGATAAACAAAATGTGATATATACATATAAGGAAATACTATTCATCCATAAAAAAGGAATGAAGTTCTGATACATGCTACAACATGAACGAACCTTGAAAATATTATGCTAAGTGAATAAACCAGACACAAAGGAACGTATATTGTATGATTCAATTTCTATGAGGTACCTAGAATATGTGAATTCATAAAGACAAAGTAGAATAGAGGTATGGGAGACTGGGAATTATTGTTTAATGGGTACAGAGTTTCTGTTTGGGATGAGGAAGGTCTGGAAATTGGTAGTGGTGATGTTTGCACAACATTGTGAATGTACTCAATGCCAGTGAATTGTACGCTTAAAATGGTAAATTTTATGTTTTGTATATATTTCACCACAATAAAAAGATGATAATGCTGGAAACTCAGGAATAATCAAGACCTCAGGATTGCTCATAGCCATGATATGTCTATTACTGGGCACAGAGCAGATGAACAGAAAAAAGAAGAAAAAGTTAAAGATTTAGAAGCTAGTTCAAAAGAAAAGAGAGAGAATTTAAGTACAGTTTTTTTTTTCTAGGTCTTTTAGTAAAAGTTGTTTTTTTAAAAAAAGTTTTCCCTGGCCGGGCGCGGTGGCTCACACCTGTAATCCTAGCTCTCTGGGAGGCCAAGGCGGGCAGATTGTTTGAGCTCAGGAGTTCGAAACCAGCCTGAGCAAGA